AAAGCAAAAGGTCATGATATGTAGCGACCTAGGTCACATTGTAACCTTGGGTCGCGACCTGGTTGGAGGGTAGAAATGGGATATTTGTTCAAATTTTATTGAATAAGAGTATTCTTTTGTGTTAAAAAAATAATAAAAAATACTAAAATTTGTATTTTTTCATGCTTTATAAACAAAGACCACATTTGATAGGTTTTGGAATATAATTGTAATTTTTAGATAAATAAAATTAAATAAATATTTTAGGTTGTGTTGAGTTGTGGATAAAGATAAAAAGTTGGCTTGTGTAGGTGAAAGAAAGAGATCTAATTTTTAATTATTAGGTTGAGTTGTGTTGAGTTGTTGATAAGGATGGTCTTAGAGTTGGCGTGTGACAATTCAAATGGCAAAGACAGCGGCGATTTACCAAATAATACGGTATAACATCTAGACAAAAAAAAAAAAATTGAAATGTCAACTAACCAACATCAAATACAAAAGGATTATAGGCATTTTTTCAAAAGGATTATGCACACATACAAAAGGATTATAGGCATTTTTTTCAAAAGGATTATGCACAATTATATTATAATACATAAACTTTTGGTTATTATTGGTACAATAAAGCTAATAAATAAGAAAAATTCATTAGGAGAAGAAAGAAAGCCAAACCTCAACCCCCTTCACCGTCGTCAATTTGGTTGGTTCACCAAACTTAACAAAGACCCCCCAATGGGTTTTCCTCTCTCTGTTCATCTCCATTTTCTCTCTCCACTTGCGCGCTAAACCATCACCTACACCGCCGTTGACCTCCGTTCTCCTCTCCCGATGGCCCCCCGCCACCGAAAGCTGTTGAACGAATCCGCCGTTGACCCGTTCCTCACATCATGCCAGAACGACTGCAACGCCGATGGAAACCTGGATGGACTCTGTTCAATCAAGTGCGTAGATTATTGCCCATCCGTCTGCAAAACCGTAATCTTCGACATCCCGCCGCCTCCTCCTCCCACCGTCATCCAAAACAGCCCGCCGGGAAAATCCCACCGTCTCTCCCTCCTCCTCACCGCCTCCCTCGCTGCCCTCGCCGCCGCCTTCTTCCTCTTCACCTGCTACACGATCTACCGGCTCTACTCCAACTGGCGCACTTCCCGCCGCCGGCGGCGGCAGCAGGGCGACGCCGGGCCGGACGATCTCCTCGAAGACCTAGGGCCCGCCGTCGATCACCCCATATGGTACATCCGGACTGTCGGGCTCCAGCCGTCAGTAATCGGCGCAATTACTGTCGTCAGATTCAAAAAGGGCGAAGGCCTGATCGACGGCTCGGATTGCTCCGTGTGCCTGAACGAGTTTCAGGAGGATGAGACTGTGAGGCTTCTTCCCAAGTGCAATCACGCGTTCCACGTGCCGTGTATTGATACCTGGCTTAGGTCACACACCAATTGCCCCCTTTGCCGGGCCGGAATCCTGAGCAATCCGGCTGTTCTACCCTCACAGACCCAAAATTCTCAGATTCCGGGCCCGGGATCCGTGGAGGAATCTCAGGGACTATCAGGGAGGATTAGCAGGAGAGTAATTGCTATGGTGGATTTAGAAAGTGAGTCTTCTGAGTCTAGAATTGGGATTGTGAGTCGAGATGAGACTCTATCAGTGTCTCAAAACTGGCCCAAAGCTAATGAAGAAGGATTATTGGATGGGATTCAGCCTATGAGAAGATCAATCTCTGTGGATTCCTTATCTGTCATGGCAAGCACTTTCCCGGATAGAAATCTGGATAGTCGGTTGTTGGTTGAGTCGAAAAAGTCGAAATGTGGGGTGGTTGGATCTAACCGGAGTTTGCTGAGATTAGTTGGGAGTCAGTCGATTGAGAGGCCTACACAAATCGGGCCTTCTTCTATGAAAAGATCTCTTTCGTGTAGTGGGAATGTGTTTACCTCTCGAGGGAACCGCAATTGAGTCGCTCGACTATGGGAGATATCTCAAGAACAAAGAAAATGTATGAGTCTTTTGGTTTTATACGAGTTGTTCGGTGTTCGATTCTAGTTTTTTGCACATTTTAATAAAACGATGGTCGTGTGCAAGGGAATTGGGATGCCTAGACAAAGGATAGGCCTCTTGGTGTGGCCATCAATCAGCAAGTAAATTGTAAGTAGAAGTTTTGGCAAATTTCCCTCTGATAAAATTTATTGTGCCATTTGATCTGTATGTGATATGTATTAAACAGTTTCCTACTGAAATTTTAATTTCATTTTGAGAATGGTGTTTGGATCTATTTTACAATTGTGATTTTGTTGCTAAATACAATTGTATGAATAAACTGAGTTGTGAGCTGCATGAATTTACAATGACCCTTTTATGGGCAAATTCCATGACAGATTCTTGTAAGGTCATGCCTGGCTTTATCCAGCACATGATCATAATTTTCATCAAGTTGCTCAATTTAGCAAGGTATATGTTAATGAAACATTTGAATGCACTCTAAATAATTGACTTACTTGATTAAGAATGAGAAACAGAGAAAATGGCAAATGGCATAGTATGCCTTCAAGAGTATCACAGATGTTGGAGTTAAAGTGGCTCCAGTTTATTCTTCTTAAAGGCTTTAATTAAGGCTCGAATTAGGGGAATCATACTTGTTTATACATGATCTATGCATTATAATTTAAATTATTTCTTGGAAATAGAAATTTTCGTGGAGATCATATAGTAAATGTCATGGCATACCTTAAACTTGTCACATATAGGAATCAGGCAGCCATCCTAACTGCTTATAGCCTCAATTTTTATTGATATTGAACATAAAAAATATAATTCTGCGTTTTATACAGCTTCAGATACAAGAAATTAGAATTTGTGGTCCACGAAAAAGGTTATTTTCAGATCATTAATAACTGGGCAAACGGATTAGAATTTGGTGAATCATGGAATACCTGAAGTGAAGGGGTATACTCGAGACGACTAGGGACTTTTTTTATTTTCCTGAGGAAAAAAAGCCTGAATTTCAGGCAAAGCATGTTTTAAACCTGATTAGCTATGGGACGAGCTTCAACATCCCGAGTTTCATTGTCCTTTGAGCATTTAAAAGGAAAAATACAGAGATAGAGACAAGAAGTTCGACATTCCGTAATTATGGTACCGCGACTAAAATGGAAGAAATATCATTAGACAGGAAAACAACAACTTTCAGGCCTCTTTTTCCTAGTGATCAATATGACAATTGTTAGAAAATACTGGTATCGAAATGAACGAAAATCCTACGAACTGAAGTGTATTTTTCAGTTATTACAATAGAACTAAGAATTAGAAAATTACAATGGAACCGAAATTAAATTACAGCTTAAAAAACGAAAAGATTATAGCCCAGACGAGTTAACTTTTTTCGCAAAACGAATACGCCCCGTGTAGTGCTGATGTTCAGGCGTATCGTTCTCGAAAGCTGTAGCACACCAGTCTTACAAGCTCCGGCGAACTATAACGGAGTCGAGAACTGGGCACGTATAAATTAGAACCACTAATAAAAATCTCAATTATTTTTTATTTTTTTTTTTATTTTTTTTAATCTCAACTCCCCTTCACTCATGTTCTCTCAGACTCTCATCTTTTTTTCTGTACTTTTTGTACTTCAACTGCAACTGAACACATGGATTGAAGATGTTAAACTGCTATTTTTATTCATTTCTTCACGCAATGAAAAAGTTCAGAAATTGGACAATTCAAATCAAGTAGACAATTTGCACTCAATAATAAATTTACACTCAATAACAAATCCAACAATCCTCTCCACGCTCTTGTACTCAATCCTTACAAGACTAACTATTGCATCAGAAAATGTAACTTGTAGCTCAACCGTGATCAGTTCATGAATTCTTTAAATAGGTGTCGATCAGGGTTGAGCTATGGGAATAGTACAGTTTGTACACGATCTATATAAATTGAACATTATCTTTTCAAGGAGGAAACCTCACAGCTGACATCACTACGTACAGCAAATCAAGGCATCCTGATCCATCCACCCCTAGGCCTATTAAAAACAATATATAGTAAAAAAAAAAAAAACAATATATAGTAAGTAAACAGAATTTTTGGTCCCTAACTTATCTCTTTATGTGGTCCTCAACGTTCCATAACAAAGTTTGTGTTGGACTTGTTCTCTGATATACTTTATCCACAAAATACACCAGCTAGTGCTCAACTTGTCTTACAGACATTCAGTGTTTTAAAATAGCGTAATGCGTCGCGTTTTGGTCTTTATACTGCGTAACATAAATAGCATTGTGTCTTGCGTAAATTATTTAAGTATAAAAGTTATTTTTATAGAAATATTATAAATATATTTGGATATAATAAAACTGGATAGTTGATTCTAAAAATCATCATAATATTTGAATGAATTCAAAAATAACATCTAAGAATTATTTCTCACAAATGTTTAATGTAAATATCATAATATAAATATTTAAATAATAAAGCGAACATACTAAAATGTATTTAACCATAATTTAATTTTAGGTATATGTATTTTAATTATTATTTTTATTTAACTACAACTTAATTCTAACCACTATATATGAACTTTTTATTCTTTATTTAAATGTTAGATATTGAAAATTAAAATGATATAATAAAAATTGACCGATAAATATTGCACTATTCAACTTAAGATTTTGCATTTTCAATTTAAAATTATTATCAAAAGTCTAGTTTTTAGTTGTCATTTGAAATTATGAATCTAATCCTAAAAAAATACGAGTTTTGAAATATTTTATTATTAAAATATCGTTACAGAAATATTGCGCAATGTCGCGCACAATAACGTGAAATAACGCAAAATAACATAAAAACTTAGATAACTCGTATTAATAATAAAATATTTCAAAAACACAAACCAAGAACAATAACATGAAATAACGCAAAATAACACAAACCAAGAACAAATGTGCAGTGCCAGTGGCCCGTAATTCAGTTGCTCTATAACTATAACTATAAAGGGGGCTTCATATTCTTTACCACACTCAGAGAGAGAGAGATGTCGGCAACTGCACCACTGGTCAGCCGGGAATCTCTGGCGGCCATCACAACTGTCAAACGCCTTTCGGAGTCGTCTGATCTCAAATCTATACCTCCTAACTACGCCTATTACACAGATCCTACGGATACAATTGATTCAGACTCGGCTGACTGTCAAATTCCCATAATCGATCTCTCACTTCTCACCTCAGCCGATTCCGAACAGAGCTCCAGAGCCGTACAGGACCTAGACAAGGCCTGCCGAGAATGGGGCTTTTTCATGGTACCCGATTAGCTAAACCAAACACTAATTCAATTTTAGTACTATGCAACTATGCATTTAATTTTTTATTTTTTATTTTTTGTTGTAAATTGATTTGTAGGTGGTGAATCATGGAATACCAGAAGAGCTTACCAGAGGTATTCTTGAAGTGGCAGGGGAATTTTTCGATCTGCCGGAGGAAGAAAAGCCCGAATTTCAGCCCAAGAATGTTTTGGACCCGATTAGATACGGGACGAGCTTCAACACTGCCAAAGAGGAGGTATTTTGCTGGAGGGACTTCTTGAAGGTTTTCGTGCATCCCCAATTTCATTGCCCTCATAAACCCGGCTCTCTAAGGTATTTTTATTCAAAATCAATAAAAAAAAAATATATTAAAATAGGTAAAAATGCATTATTAGTCGTGTTGATTTTTAGTCCGAAAATTCCAACATTTCACATCTTGGTATTGTGATTTAATATTCAAAAACTGAAATTGCAATAAAACTTTAAATTACAATATTTAAATTGCTAATAAAAAATATGGGAATATGAAAAATTTTTGCAATTTCAGTTGTAATTGCAACAAACGACAAAGTAAAATTGCTATTGTGTTAACCAAAAATGCAATTTTGTCTATTAAAATATATCAATATCTTATTAAAATACATGTACGTACTTGTAGAGAATTATTACTGGAATACTGCGAAAGAACTCGAGATATAGTGAGGAAACTGGTAAGGGCAATATCAGAGAGCATGGGCCTCCAAGAGAACGAGATGGATCGGGCTTTGGATTTGGGCTCGACTCTACAGATTTTCGTCGCGAACTTGTACCCAAAATGCCCGAATCCTGAAATGGCCATGGGTATACCGTCACATTCGGATCACGGGCTTTTCACGCTCCTTATAGAAAACCAAGTGGGCGGCCTGCAAATACAACACCAGGGCAAATGGATCAATGTGAATTCACTTCCTAACTCCATTTTGGTCAACACGGGCGATCATCTTGAGGTGACTTAATTAAACATTTCATATTATAAGCTAACCTGTTTCATAATCCTCATTCTCTTAGTTTTGTTTTGTTTTAATTTTTATTTTTTGCAGATATTCAGCAATGGGAGGTACAAGAGTGTGTTGCATAGAGCTGTGGTGAACAATCAAAAGACGAGGATTTCCGTAGCCATGACCAACGGGCCGTCACCCGAGACAGTGGTGAGCCCAGCTACGAGCCTCTTGCGGGCCCAAGGTTGTGTGCCGGCTTATGTTCCGATGAAGTACAAGGATTACCTGCTGTCACAGCAGAGTAGCCCGCTCAAAGGAAAATCAGTCCTCAAGCAAGTTCAGGTACAAGGCGTGTGATAAAGTCTAGTTTGGTCTGGTTGTGAATTGTTCTTTGTTCCAATTCAACACCTGTGTACTACACGGGATGTGAATTAAAATATATATGCATATATATTTTGGTAAAATAATAATATAAGTTTTTTTAAGTGGCCCTTACTCGAAACCGAGTGACGGTAATCTCGACTTTTTATATGATGATTCGCTCGGATGGCTTATGGAGCTATATGTGTGCAATGTACAACCGTTCGGATGGCCTCGTCTTTAGCTCGAAGGGCCTTCGGGCCAATCTCTTTATTCTCACCGGACAAACACCATTGGACAAACGGTGGTGCACCACCGTGTTGAGTGTTGAGTACGCGCATTGTTTTCCTTATTTTCTTTTTTCTCTTAGTTGTGTTTTCTTGTGTGTTTGTGCTTGTTTTATTTGCTTATTTTTGTTTACTGTTTTCCATTTATGTACATTGAATGAGCTTGTGTGATTATGTGTTCCTTTCGTACGCTTTCTGGTCAAGCAATGAGGGCATTTGTAGCGCCCCGTTCGTTTATTAGAATTTTTTAGATTTTATATGATTATTTATTTGCTTATTACTTGATCATTGCCTTGTTTTATATTAATCGCTCATTTGTTTTATTAACTCCTCATCTCTTCTATTTGCTTATTTATTTAATTGTTGTGTGACTATATTTATGCGATTATTAGGTGTTTATTTATTTTATTTACGTGTTAGAATTATTAGGATTTATTCGAATTAAATTTTAATTATTCGGCGATTTTCGATTTAATCGCGTAAATCGATTTTTAATCCGTTTCGATCCGTTTTCGAACCATTTTGACCCGAATCTTGAATTTATTCTTTCGACCCAAGTCAATGCAAAAATCGCTCCATTTTAGCTCACCAAACCGGGCTGTTTGTGCTTGAGAGGAATCGGCCCAAATAACTTGCAAATTCCGCCCATTACACATTAGACCAAAGCCTACCATTCATTATCAGGCCGTAATCCCCTCTATATATAATTTCAGAATGCGCTGAGCCTACGTGGCATATTCTCATGCTTTGAAATCCTATTTGGCAAAAAATCATGCTTTAGAGTTAGGCTTGGATATAAATTAATATTTGTATTAATTGTATTTTAATATCATTTCCTATTTCCTATTATAACCATTGAATTGCAAAAATATTTTAAAAGTTGATAACTTTTGTATTTCTTATCGGTTTTACATATATAATATATCAAATTAATCATCTTTTGATGAGCTTCGATTTGACATCCATATTGTATATATAAAATAAACAAATTATATTTATCTTTATAATAATAAAATTATCTATTAAAATTAATTAGAAAATAAAATTATTTATCAATTAATATTTTTCTTAATAATAAATAAACATATTCTACACTTATGCATATACATATCACCATAATATTTCTATTTACTTAAGATGTATATTTTTGTACTTATGTAATAGTAAATAATATCGATATTATTATGATATAAGTAAAAAAATTCAACACGGGTTGACATTTTCATATACATATTGTATATATAAAATAAATAAATTATATTTATCTTTATAATAATAATAAAATTATTTATTACAATTAATTAGAAAATAAAATTATTTATCAATTAATATTTTTTATAATATTAAATAAACATATTCTACACATATGCATATACATATCACCATAATATTTTTATTTACTTAATATATATATTTTTTTGCTTATGTAATAGTAAATATTATCGATATTATTATATGATATAAGTAAACAAATTCAAAACGGGTTGACATTTTTATTTAATGTACAGGTGTTTACTTATTATGATTAAAAAAATATAATTTGACAATTTAATTAAAACTCAAAATAGTGTTTTATATAAAATTAAATTATTTTAATTTTAAAAAAATAAAAAAATAATATTTTTTACAAAAACTTTTTAATTCAACACCCGTGTAATACACGGGTATTGCATTAGTGAAATATTAAAGCCCTAATGTTCTCTCAGCCGCAACTCGTTGATTTTCCCCCTTTCGTCAAATCTCTGATCTCTCCCCTTCTCTCAGCAAGATTCGTCCCTCTCCTCTCCTTCAATCGGCGACCAGAAGCCGAGAACCTCGTTCTCCTGTCGCGACCGAGCAGCATCCGCAAGTCTGTCGCCGGCGATCCTCCTCCGCCGCGCGACTCCTTCCGACGAGCAACAGGTCCTGTCGGTTCTTCCGCCGCTCCTGAGGTCCCGTCATCCTTCGCTGGCGACCTTCCTTCAGCACCAGGACCGATTGTTGCGTGAATTTGAGCAGATGTCCGAACCGCCGATTTCTATCATCCGAGTTCTATCATCCGAGGCCCGTTCACTCGGCCCGAATCCTCACCACCTCCGTTCGTTCGTCACGTGCAGCAGACGATAAAAGCTTTGTTTCGAGCAGCACCAGCAGCCGGCGACCCTTGTCCAGCAGCCGCGGCTCTTCTCGTCAATCGCGAGCCGTCGATCATGCCGGGATACCTCTCGAGTAGAACCTCACGCCGCGGGAGAAGAGAACTCCACAGCCGGCGATCTCCGAGCAGTAATTTCCGTCCGTTCAGCACCTATTTCGCGTCCGGTAGCAGCCCCTTTCAGCCTTCTCTGGGTTTTCCAGCGAGTAGTAGCAGGTTTGGTTCAATCATATGCACATCGGCACCCCCGTCGGCCTTCGTTTAGTGGCCCGAGCAGCAGTAGCAGCCCTTTCAGGCCCCGTGCGAGAGTAGCGGCAGCCGTTCGAGGCTTTAATCAAGCAGTCGGGGTCCTCAGAACATTGGCATCGAGCAATAGTAGTCCCCCTTTTTTGCAAGTTGTGAGCCGGCAGCAAAGTTCAAAACCGAGAGCCAACCGAGTCTCCTTTTAAACTTTGTTTCTGAATCCCGAGAATAGGTAATTTGGCTAAGACCTGTTACCTTAAAATTGGCCGAGTTTATGTGTTTATATGCCTAAGTTTCAGTTTTATTTTGGAGTTAAAAGCATGTTGAGGCTCTGTGAATTTATAGCATGAGAGATCATGTCATGTTTTGCTTTTCGAACATCCTGCTGAGCCTTGTTATTGATTGATTTCATGCTGGAAATTATGTTGAATACCCGATATTATTTTCAGTTTTATTAGCCTATTGGTGTGATAAATTTTGGCTAAAATCTTGAAGAAAAGAGAGAATATATAGTTTTAATGCCTTTATAATTGTTATTTAAGTAATGAGAATAGAAAGGTGAAATTGAGGCAATTTGGTGATGTGCTCGGCCATGTGTTTTGCATGGTTGACTGAAGCTTTATGTTTTGCATGTGTTTATGCCTTGTTATTTGTAGTTTGCTGAACCTTAATTGTGGGTTATATGCTGAGGTTAGTGTGCAGTTAGGAAGTTAAATGTCCGGTTTAGATGCTTGTTTTGAGAGATGCATATTTATTTGATTGGTTAGCCTGTTGAGTTCTGGCCAGTTTTATTCGAGTTTTGCTGAGCCTAAATTTTGAGTTTGAAGCGTGCTGTAGTTGTATGATTAATATTAAGATTTAGCCCTAAAAGTTTGGCTATGCGTGCATAGTTTAGAGAAAAGAGAAAGCAGTTTCACTAGAGTTAAGAGTTAGAAAATATATGTGCTTATTCGCCTTTAACTTTCTTAATTGCTTTAATTTCCTTGTTGCCTTATCTGCTTTACGTGTTTAATTGTCCTTGCTTGTCTTTAATTGTTTGCCTGTCCGCCCTTAATAATAAGATAAATATTTAAACTGTAGATTATTACCCTTGTTTGAACGTGTATTCGTCCATCATCCTCTGCGGTTGGTGTTGATAACCTTACCATGTATGTTAATTTCTATAAATGTTTGACTTGATAATTGTACGATTGTGTTTTAATGCTATTTTTAATCATGATGTATTTGACTAAAAATAGCGACACCATTTATATTAGCATTTATGAAATTAATAGCACAATATAATATTACAAATAGCATTATAGATAAATAAAAATAACATCAAATACGGTTCTCACACCAGAACTAGTTTTTATTTGAACCAGTACATATACAACAACAACAACAACATAGCCTTTAGTCCCAAGGAAGTCGGGGTAGGCTAGAGATGAAACCCAAGAGAAACACAAAAAGACTGAAGAGATCGAAAAAAAAAAAAAAGAGAGAGAGAGAGAGAGAAAGGAGCAAAAGTCACGGTTCTGGCACGTTGATAGCGAGCCTCCAAGCCCTCCTATCCACCGCTAAATCCTTGGAGATATTCCAATCCACCGCTAAAGAACCAGTACATATATATATATTTATATATATTTGTTGGAATATCACTTGTGAGTTGTTCCACATTGATTTTAAAGGGTAAATGAGTCTAATTCATAAGCCTAGTGGACTACTCTTCCCATCACTATTTGATTTTGGTATGGAACATCACTAAAGTGCATTTAAGCTTACTCTCTTATAGTGTGCTTCACTTGGTGGGACCAAATCCTCTTCCTTGGTTCTAATAATATTCCTTGGTTCTTGGTTTTGGTTCATGTCCAATATTAATAACTATAAAAGAGGATTTTACATAATTAACCTTCATTTACAATTAAATTTGCAAAGTGTGCCTTAAATCAAACGGGCCAACGCACACAACTTCATGAACCCCAAGAATTGACAGATCTAACACAAAATTGGATTGGCCAACACCATAGTGATCCCAAACCATGAATCAACCGGATGTGAATTAAATCGAGTGTATGAACTTTGACGTCGCTAAGCTATACGGATTCGAAATCTTCTCATGCCCAACTTCAATTTCATCTACCTCCATCTCACATTTCATTAGCGAAATTTAAAAATAAAACGGAGAACAACGACGGAGATTTGGATTTCGGGATTCTAATTCGAGTTAAATTAAATGAAAACAAAAGGGTTTCCAAAGGTCTTTTGCCCAGAACAAAAATTGTATGTGAACAAACTACCTATTGGACAACAGAGGTGTTGGGAAGGTGATTGAATGATGTTGTGGCTCACCGATCGACGGCTCCTGTTCTTCAAACCCAATCCCTATCATAATATGACGTCCATATTCACCAGACTGACCAAACTGACACAATCACCACAAATTAATATACCAAATAGTTTGATATCACCACAAATTAATATACTAAATTATCTTAATAATATACCAAATTGTTTGATATCACTCCCTATCATGTCAACCAAATCGACCCTTATAATATCTCTAGTCACGCTCTATATAATAAAATATGAAGTCTATATTCATTCACCAATCACCTCAAAGTTGTAACATTTTCTGTAGGAATTCGGACACAAATAAATAAATAAAAAACAAAAAGAAATTGAGAAATATGGCATTAATGGCTATTTCAGGTGAATCACTCAATTCATTTCAGCAGCTTGATAATGATATAGGCGACAAGGTGTTGACCGATTCTTCTGTGGTCAAAGTCGTGCCTTCTAAACTCAACTACGAAAATAAGCCGAGCGCGTTGACTTATGATGCAATCCCCATCGTTGATTACTCGGCCTTCACAGATCCCGATCGACGGTCCAAAGCCCTTCACAGCCTCAACAAAGCATGTCGTGACTGGGGTTTCTTCATTGTAAGAACTTCCATCAACATCTTAATTTGTTTAATTTTTTACCCCTTTACTTGTTCATAGTTAAGAAAATTTTAATCTTGAAAATACCTCTTTTTATATATAAATATTGATTTTTTTTTTTTTTTGGTACAAGAAAGGAGGCTATGCAAAATATTGATTTTGTTTGGCAATCAATAGTTTGTTGTTGATTGATTATATTGGTTGTTCCACCAGTACATTGTTTAGTTGAATTAATTAACTAGCTGATTACTTTAGATGTCTCTTACAAAGTATTTGATAAATTAGCTATTAATTAAGTTGATAACATTTTGAAAAATTAATTATAAGGACATTAACGTACAATTATTTTTCTTGATGTCACAATAAGTGTCGAGAATATCTTTTTCTCTTTTCAGTTTCACAATTCGCTCTTGAATTTATTTATTATTTGTCAACGTATGGTGGCAGCTTGTGAACCATGGGGTGCGGGAGGAATTAACGAGGGATGTTCTTACTGCGACCAGGGATTTTTTCAATTTACCATACGGTGAAAAGAAGCCATATGAAGCCAAGAGTATTTTCAATGTCTCCACAACCTCAAATCAGGGCTTCAGAGATTTCCTTAAGCTCTATATTCATCCTCAATTTCACTGCCCCCTCAAACCACAACCCTTGAGGTACATACATATATATATAAAAATTAAAATGAAAGATTATGAAATAAAAGACTACTTCTTACATTGGTAATTAATTACTGTCCTTATTTTTTACATTTTTACCAATGATCACAGGGATGTTTTGTTGGAATACGGCAAAATAACCCGGAAAATAGCACAGGAATTGGTGGATGCGGCTTGTGAGAGCATAGGCCTGGAAAAAGGCTATGCGTACGAGGCTTTGGAGTTGGACTCGACTTTTCAAATATTCGCGGCGAATTTGTACCCACCTTGCCCGAAGCCCGATGAAGCTATTGGGATTCCGGCCCATACAGATCCGGGTCTCTTCACTTTTTTGATCAACAACGGTGTTGTGGGCCTGCAGATCCAACACAATGGCCGGTGGATTGAGGTCCATTCCCCAAATAATTCCATTATGGTCAACGTTGCTGACCAACTCCAGGTGATTTAATTTATTCACTAACTCATAATTTCTGTGTTTGGTTATATTTATATTATTATAATTATTATTATTATTATTACTACTTCACTTTTATTTTTATTTTATTTTATTTTTTTTTTTGAGGAAAGATTTTTAGCAATGGGAGATACAAGAGCGTGAAGCATAGAGCGGTGGTGAACAGCGAAAGAGAGAGGATGTCAATTGTGGTGGCCAATGGGCCGTCGGGCGAGGCTGTCGTGGGCCCGGCTGAGCCACTCGTGAGAATGGACGGACGGCCATTTTATGAGCGGATGAAATACATGGACTATGTGGAGTATCAGGTCACCAAAGGCCGGGACGATAGAAAACCCATTCTGGAGCAGATGATGATTCAATAGTGTTATTGTTTGTTACGTACTATGCCGATTATGAGTATTTCATTTACGTTTGGTTGAAAAATAAAAAATGTAAAAGATAAAATATGTCAATGTATGTGTCACATTTGTGCGTTATCAAAGTTTTCAAATTGGGGTTTAAATTTTGGGGAAAAATTCAAAACTAGTTTCACATGTTTAGGGGTGACACTTTTGGTTCCGACGGAATACAGAAAATATGAATAGTCCCGCAGCTTTTAGAAAATGATCAAAAGTGGGACTTTTATTGCTGGATTTACATTTTCCGGCTCGAAAAGCCACGACGCGCACAACTGGCTTATTTTTTTTTACACGTTGGCTTATTTCTTTTACACGCAGGCGCTTGCATCTGATGTGGATAAGCACACCTTCACATAAAACGTGGGAAATCAGAAATCTTCCCCCCAAAACGTAAATTTCTTGCCTAATATTTCAGAACCCTAATCCCCAAATCGCTCCAACTTCGGCCGAACGACTGATTTGATCAAAAGCACAATTGAGCATAAGATTGAACGCAGATGGGGTTCCTCCGTAAAAAAATTCACCTGAACTTGTCTCCTCCAATATATCGTAAGAACTCATTTGTGCTTATTTCGGTTTTGTGTACTGGGTTGTTTTGCTCCATTGTTTTCTGAATTTTTTGTTGGCATTTTCGTGTCTGCTTTTTGACATTATTGGGTCCATTATTTTATTTGTGTATTGTTTTGAGTTTTATAAAAGATTCATCATTCTTATTTGTTTATTGTATTTGGGTTTTATCAAATGTTCATGTGGATGTGGGGACCCGTAACGTTATTTGTTTATTGACAACTTTTTGTTTCCAAAAAACTTACAGATCTAACGTCTGATTCTTTCTCATTGGTTGTGCATTGGAATGGAAAATTTCAACATAACCCAACACCAAAATACAAAGGAGGTAAGATTTTTACAGTTGATTATGTCACCCCCACAATAATTGAAATTGTTGGCTATCAATCTTTGGTGCACACAAGTAGGGATCACTGGAGAGATGGGGTTGTACATGTGTGAGAGTAGTGGGTTTTTGTTATTGTGCAGTGACAGAGAACTTACTAAATTTGTGCATGATGCTGTTAGAACTAGAGAGATGCATATATATGTTGATTTGATGGCTCATGATTATATGGATCCTGTTGTTGAACCTAATGAGTCTGGTGAGCTCAATGAGCCCTCTAAGTCTAATAACTCTAAATCTGCTCCTGCTTATGTTCCAAATGATCCAAATAAGAAAACATTGGGCTCCATGTGGGTATCAATTGGAGAAGCCATGGGTAGAGACTTAAGTATGAAGAGGATGATTGTGGATGAAAATAAATCTGATTCTGATGAATTAAATGATTCTGACTACAACATGAGTCCGGAAAATGTTAGTAAAGATGATGATGATTTGTGGGAAGAAAATGTTGATGATATAGACAAATATGTCAATGATTCAGATAATGATGATGGGGAAGATGATGTGGTTATTAATAGCCTTCAACTAGATGAGTATAGGGTGTCTGGTGAAGAGTGTGAGCCAAGTGAACCTGTTTTCAACCCTACACTTATTTTCAATCCAACATTTGAATTAGTCATGGTTTTTGCTACTGAGGCAGAATTTAAGAAGGCAATTCAGTCTCATGCTATTAGCACAAAAAGAAACTTTGAAGTTTACAAAGAATGACAATAGAAGAGTATATGTTGAGTGTAAGGTTGAGAGCTGCAAATTAAGAATCAATGCTCTTAAGAAAGCAAATGAACAAGCTTTCATTATTTCTACTTACTTTCCTGATCACACTTGTCAACTAGAGTTCATTGTGAAAAATTTAAAAAGTAGATGGTTGAGTGAAAAGTATCTTCAAAGTTTTGTGACTGATCCTAAGAGGACTACTAAAGGGTGGAGAGCTGAAGTGATAAAAAAGCTTGGGGTTGATGTGTCCAAGCAACAAGCATACAGGGCGAGAAGAGATTTGAAAGTGATACAAGGTGATCCTTCTGTTCAATTCTCTAAGCTGTGGGAAGACCAATGTTTGTCCCATTTTTGTTACGTTTTTCGTGTCTGTTTTCTCGTTCTTTTTCCCCTATTTTGAGTCATTTGTGTGGTTTTAGAGTCGTCTTGTCATTTATTTCGTGTTTCGAGTATTTCTGTGTTTTTCGTGTATTTTTCCGGTTTCCTTCGTTTTTCTTTCATTTGTGGTGTGTAGGTCGAAAGCTTCGGGAGGACCAGAAAAAGCGGAATTAGATAGAGGAGTTCGTTGGGAGCACACAGGAAAAAGCGGAATCGAATTCCGATGTCAAACGAGCCCAAACGACTCCAAAAGGTGAAGTCACGCAGGTGGTCCGAGCACCAGTACCAGCGCCACGCCGAGTCCCCACCACTCGAAGCCCCGCGCCGCGGCAGTACCTCCACGCCGCGACAATTCCCCTCTCCGTACCGTGATGCCATGTCCCGCGCCGTGGCCTCCTATGGTCTATATATATGCGCGATCGGGATTTCGACGAGGATCATCTGACCCTCCTGGGTGAAAACCCTAGGGTCGGGAAAAACCAAAGAACACTCCTTTCCTTTTCTTTTCCTTTCTTCTTCATCGTTTTTCTTCTTCTTTCCATCATTTTCTTCCATTTTTCTTCTTCTTTATCAAGGGATTAAGCTTGTAATTAGAATTCAACATCTAAACTTGGATTGATTGTAAGTGTTTCTTTCTCTTGTTTAATTCATGAATAATGGTTGACTTGAGTAGAAAGATTATATTTGTTGAATTTGATTTATGTAGCTAATTCCTTCTGCTAGGGATAGGGGATGATTGTTCCTGATTAATTTCGTTATTATTGGGCTTTAATCTGTTCATGCTTGTGCGAGTTGCTTTAATTCGGGTTAATTAATTCTTGCTTGATAACTTGATATAATCGAAGGGTGACACTTCGATCTTGCAATTGGCAACAATTGAATGTTAATTTGTCGAGTTAGGGTTAGTTGATTCTATATGATTAGTTGATTAAAAACCTTCTAATTGAATTAGCGTCTTTTAGAACCGAAAGGGGAGAAGTCATAGACCTAGGCTCGCATGAGATAGATGATTTCGTAACTGAATAGTCTATAGGTTTTGGATTGAAATACATACTTGCCGATGACCCGTCTCTTGTTACGAAAAGTTATTGAGACTGGGATAATTGGCATGTGTTGTATGCTTGAGCTAGCTCGTCTATGTTCAATCCCTTGTTACGAAAAGTTATTGGGAGCGAACCGCTAGATGTTTAAGCGAGAGTGTCAATCTCGAAACGAACAATTGATTGCCCGGTTTTGCTTAGAACTTGAATAAATTATCTCCGATTCCCTAGCTTCTTTATCGCTTTCTAGTTCGTACTTTAGGTTCGTTTTATTTGCTGTTGATTTCTTAGTTGATAATATATTCCTCGTTTCTGATTAGAGTGTTTAGGTTTTTATTTTCTTTTTGTGTGAAATCAATACCGAAGTTAAATTCCGAACCGCATTCCTCGAGAGATCGACCCGGAAAACGAATCCTTGATTCGGTACTCGGTAAAATATAACAATTTGTACACAACAACCAATCCTAGAAGCACTGTCATCCTTGACACTATCACTTCAAATGGTGAAACCAGATTCAGTAAGTTCTATTGTTGTTTTAATGCTTTGAAAATGGGATTCAAAATGGGATGTAGGCCTATAATTGGTGTAGATGGTTGTCACTTAAAGGGACATAATCTAGGTATCTTGCTGACTGCAGTGGGTGTTGACCCCAACAACAATTTATACCCCATAGCTTATGCTATTGTTAGTGGAGAAACAAGATAGACTTGGTCATGGTTTTTAACCATACTTAAGTCAGACCTAGAGATAGATGTTGATGAGCAAATGACCTTCATGAGCGACAAACAAAATGGTTTAATACAGGCTTTCAAAGAGGTTTTTCCAAATAGTTCTCATAGATTCTGTGTTAGACACCTACACTACAACTTCAAGAATGCAAGTTTCAGGGGCTTAAGTTTTAAGTTAGCATTGTGGGGTGTTGCACAAACTACTACAGTTGGAAAATTTAAGAGGAGGGTGATGGATATGAAAAATCTCAATGAAGATGCATGGTCATGGTTTCATGATAAAGCACCAAGTGAGTGGTCAAAATCACACTTCTCAGGTGTCCCAAAATGTGATATGGTGCTTACCAATGTCTGTGAATCTTTCAATTCAAATATCCTTGAGACAAGAGACAAGCCCATCATCACTATGCTAGAATGGATTAGAGAGTATCTGATGGTAAGACTCCAGAAGAATAGGGACAGAGCTGCTGCAAATACGCATGAAAATTTGTGTCCTAAGATTCAAAAGATCTTAGACAAACACATAGAGAAGATGGCTGAGTGCATTCCAATTAAGACAGATGATAACAATTGTAAAATTTCTTGCTCTGGTGGAGAACAGTATGTTGTGGTTCTTGACAAAAGAACATGTACATGTAAGGCTTGGGAGTTCAGTGGTATACCTTGCTCACATGCTCTTAGATCCATTATCAACCAAAAAGAAGACCCAGTTGACTTTGTGAGCCCTTTTTACTCAGTAGAGTCCTATAGAATGGTATATGAATATGCAATCATGCCAATGAGTGGTGAATCTATATGGGAGCAGACTTCTTATGTTCCACTCTTACCCCCCATTTATGGTAAAAAAAAAGAGGCAGAGACAGACCCTCTTCTTTGAGAAGAAGAGAACCTAATGAACCGAGGGGTAAAAGGAAGAGGTCGACTTGTCCATACAAGCTTAAGAAACAACAAGCAACTATAAGGTGTTCTAAATGCCATGAAACATGTCACAATGCTCTTAGATGCAAGGTAAAGTACATATTTTTCTTACATTATTTTTTTTACAAAATCATGTATTTGAATTGATTGCTCATTCTAAGAAACTTCTTATAAATATGTATATTGTCTAGGTTACTGTACAAAACACAGAAGGACTAGAGAATTCTAGTCATGCACCACACCAACAGGAAGCAAATGCAAATGCCAATATCCCTAATATGAGGGAGAAGTTAAAGGTAAAATTACATCTTTTCTTACAAAAAATATTTATTTCAATTAATTGCTCGTTGCACCAACATTGCTATGAATATGGATATTGGCTAGGTTACTAACAAAAACACAGATGGAGCTGGGAAATCTTGTGATGCACCACAGTAACAGGAGGTTCAAGAAAATGCCAATATTTTACCACCCATAGAAGATGATTTGATGAATAGTGTGATCTCAGGAGTTGATGGAAGCAATCGATAGCTATACTGAGATGGACTTCTATCAACATGAGCAGCCTCAGCCACAAGTATATTTCTTATAAAAACATGTTTTTTGTTTGCTCATTAACAACATTCCTATAACTATTTATATTTTTCAAGTTACAAAACAAAACACAATAGGTGTGGAGAATTCATCTAGTGCACAACAACAAAAGGAAAATGCAAATTCAAAGATTTTACCACCCACCCAAGAGGATCTGATGGATAGTGTGATTTCATATCAGGATTTGATTGCAAAAATTGAAAGCCAGGTTGACAGCAACATATATCAATATGTGCAGCCTCACAAGCCAGGTCCTTCTCCATTTGAGCAGCTGAAAATGTCCTCAAACTAGCCACCTGTGACTAACCCTCTGCAGACAAGGATCAATATCGGAGCACCCCCACCAATCACAAGAGGATATAGCAGACCAATGTTCAGTACCAAGCCCAACAGCTCCAAGTCAATTGTGGTGGAAGGTGGGAAAAAATTCTTTAATTTCTCTCAGGAAAGCCAGACATGAGTGCAAGTGAAGAAAGGAAAGGGGAAAAAGAAGTGAAAAAAAAAATGTGTGTTACGGTTAAGTTATGTGTAAATTTTTTATTATGAAACTTGTTTCTGGATATGTTTTGGTTCTGAAACAATTGGATGGTTGATTTAGATTTGTTTTGGTTCTGAAACTTGTTTTTTTATTGTGAAATTAGTTTTGGACATGTATNACAGGTTTTTGTGTCCTTTATGCAGTTTTCATAATGATTTTTGTATTGGTTATCTGTTTTGTGGTGGTTCTTATAATGCAGTTCTCCTAATGAGAAACAAGTTATCTGCTTTTGTTTTGGGTTAATGATTTTCTCATTCAAAAAAAAGCATAACAACTTAACAATCAAAATAAAGCTTTAACATTCTCTCATTCAAATAAACATTCTAAAAGCCACAGAATCATAACATACAAAAATTAAACCAAAAGACAGCTTTTGTCATTCCAAGTACAACATCTTACATTGAAAAATGTTATGCTTTCATTCAGTGCAGCATAACATACAAAAAATACAGCATAACATAAATAGGAATATAACATCTTAACCATCCTCACAAAATACAAACACCAGCAAAAGGTTTTCACCATCCTACCATTCAAAATGCAAACACCAACATCTTCATTATGCCACCATTCAACACTTGACAGTCACTGAAGCATCTTCACTTGGTTCATTCCAGTTGGGTTCTCTTTAGCAACTTTGAAATTGGAAAATATGGTAAACACCAGTAAAAGAACCAAAATGAAGACTATCTTCTTCAATTTTTTATCCAACTTCACCAAATGTTCATTTTTAATTTCAACTTCTCAATCTCAGCTTCTCTTTCATTCACCTTCCTCAAGAGGCCAGGAATTATCATTTTAGACCTACGGCACATTGGAGGATCGTACCAATCAAAGAAATTACATCCTCCATGTTATAAGAATAAAATTTAGAAATCAAGAAAAAGGATTAATTCTTCACATAAGAATAATAGACTTCATTAAAGATGCAATTCTATTTAACAACCTACCTCGTAATTCAAGCATGACTGGAATCGCCGCCCAGGGTTGGCGTCCTTCCACGTTGTTCGAATCACCGTCCTCCGACCACAATGGCATGTCCCATATCCGATGACAAAAGATATATTTCAACTAGAGTTGGGTTGAGATTTGATAATTTTGAGAAATTGGGGGAAGAAATTTGAGTATACCCATTTCTGCGTTCAGCTTTTCCTCAAGTGCGCTTTCGATCAAAACAAATTTCGTGGCGAATTTGGGGCGATTTAAGGGATTAGGGTTCTAAATTCTTGGATTGGGAATTTTTGGAAGTGAATTCTCCCCGTTTCTGTTTTTGCCCGTTTTATTGGCAGATGTATCCAGTCACGTCAGATGCAAGCACCAGCGTGTAAAAGAAATAAGCCAGCATGTAAAAAATTTAAGCCAGCTGTGCGCGACGTGGCTTTCTGTTGTAGTTATTTTTACCGGAGTTAAACCAAAAGATTCAATCCCCGGGTCGTATCTCAAGGAAGGTTAGCCGGATTATTTCGTACGTATATTCAATCACAAAAATAGAAAACAATCCTAAACACTCTAATTCAAATGGTTGGTTTTGATTATCAACAATGCTATTAACAACTAATGATACTTGAATAAGCAATTTCAATTTCACACTCCAAAACACAACTCAAATAGTGATAAAATGGACTAGGGTGTCGGGGACAATCGTTTCCGGTTCTCAATACATTAAACGACAAGCGATCACTCGGCTAAAAAACTCGAAAAACTCACTCATTCAGAGATTCATTCTCAATAACTCACGTAACAAGAGAACAAACATAAACAATCAATTTATCGAATCAATTAGCACATAGACATTACGTTTCCGAACAAGTCTATTCTAAACGAGCCTAGATCGATCGATTCCTCCCTTTTCGATTCTGAATTCGATTAAATAGATTAAGATGGTGATCAATCATCCAACCCTAGGTCTAAAGCAACTCGAATAGATTGAGCAATCAACATACACACAAACGAAATCGAACCGGAACAATTATCCCCTAACCCTAGTTAACGAATTTAGCTACTCATCATAGATTCAACAACGAAATACATATCAATCAAAGCCATCATCATCACAGATAAAATGAAAAGAGAGCTTACGATTAAATACGAATCCAATGTCGAAACACCACGAATAATCCAAATCCAAAAGCTTAATCTTGGTGTTTTCACAATCCAAGATCAAATCCTATGAAAACTAGGTGAAAAATGAGTTATGGAGTGAAAAATACTGAAATACCAAGTCTGAGAATGGCTAACATTAGCCCTAGGTTCGAAAATGTATCCTTCTCCCATTCAAAATCCATGAAAATCGCGGCTGTTACAAAACAGACCTTAGCGCCGCTAAGGTGCCTTAGCCGTTCAAGCCAGCCCTCAGTAAGAAATGTAGCGCCGCTAGCCTTTTAACCTTAGCGGCGCTAAGGTCCTGGAATGTCCAAAAGTTGCTTTCCCTCGCGTGCTCGGCTCACGTTGTTCGGGTACTGCCCGAGCTGAAAATCCGACCTCTGCATGTTTGTCGCATGAACGGGCATGGAATACTTGGTAATTGGGATAACCTGAAATCACCAAAACCGGACAAACACGAAAAACAAGAGAAAAATAGGAGAAAAGACAAAGAAAACACGAAACACGACTAAATAACACTAAAACACGAGAAACGACTAGACGGACTGGCAACACCTAAGAAACGACCTAAAACGGTGAAAATACACGCAAAACATAAACAAAAATAGCAACAAAAATGGGACAAACACTTTTCGAAGCGGAAAACGTAAATCCGGCAGTGTTCTAAAAGTCGCTAGGCGCCCGCTAGGCGCTCGACCAGTGCCTAGCACCTAGAGCGCCTAGTCGGGGCCCAGAAATCAATAGTAAATACCTTATTTTTTATTTATTTTAACTACCTACAAAATAAAATTATCTCAACATATAATAAATTCACACACCAAAGTCCAAATAATAATATTAATATATATTAAAGAAAACATGAGAACAAAATAATGTAATTAGTATTTAAAAAATTAAAAAAAAATTAAAAAAAATTAAAAAATTGCCGCCGAGCCCGCCTAAGTCCGTCTACGCCCGCCTAGACGCCGTCTAACCGCCTGGCCGCCGAGCCCGCCAAGGCTGCCTAGGAGCGCCTAAGGCCGCCTACGCCCGCCTAGGCGCCGCCTAGCCGCCTGGCCGATTTTTTTTGCCGATTTGTACAAATCGGAGGCGCCCGGGCACCGCCTAGTGCCTAGGCGCCGCCTAGGCCGATTTTTAGAACAGTGAAATCCGGCAATAAAAGTCCCACTTTTGATCATTTTTAAAAGTTGCGGGACTATTCATATTTTCTGTATTCCGTCAAGACCAAAAGTGTCATCCCCCTAAACCTGTGGGACTAGTAAAGTTGAGGGAGAAGTATGAAATTCATGGGATGGTCAAGATGTTTGTGCTATATGAGGATGAGCGGGCTCACTGTCCACCATCGGGGAGCGTGGCGATTCATCGAGAATCCTTGTTTTCGGGGCCATGATTTCCCCTTCCCAAGTGTTCTTAGAGTATGTGAGGAATGGGGAATCTGCATTAGTCAGGTAAACCCAAAAGCAGTGTACTGTCTATGTTCTTTGATTGTCATCTTAGTCAAGATGGGATGGTCGGTTTCGACTGTGGAGGAGTTGGACTCCATATATATATATATATGAAAGACATCGAATGAGGGATCAGGGTATTTTCACGTGGCACCGCGTGATAACAAATACGCTGATCTAGAGCCACGGCATAAGTGGAAGTAAGAGTGGTTCTGAGTAATAGGAGAATGGAAGACTCGTCGACCATCTAGTCATTTCGCATATGTGTCGGCCGCCTTCGTGTGACCGGGACTGTTTTGGCCATATATAATAGTAATGATTGACTGTTATTTATTAATTGTGTTAGTTAGATTGTAAAACAAAAATGAGATGAAATGAAAACTCGTTTTCTTTTATAAATATTTGTTTATGTTATAACTTAAATAGAATAAATAGTCATTGAAAAGTTTAGAGCATCTCTAATGGTACATGGATTGCTCTCTTTCATTGCCACCTAGCCCCCAAAATCCAATGTGGCATCTTCTATTTTATATTATATTATTTATTTTATATTTATGTTTCTACTAACCAATTAGTATATTACATATGTCAAAATATCCCACAATTAGGATTAACCATTGGAGAGAAATTATTTTTTGTTCCTTTCTCCATACCATACATCTCAAAATAGATATTGAGCAATTGGAGATGCTCTTATATAATCGATTCGCCACCTCAAATTCCATCTTAAATTTGAGAATTTCAGAAGTTTTTCAAGAGCTGAGTTATAAATAAATAAAATTTGAGCCCTGTGCTGATATATC